TAGGAATAAACTTAACAAAGGATGTGAATGACCACTACAAGGAAAACTACAAACCATTGAAGAAAGAAGTTGAAGACTATAGAAGATGGAACTATCTCCCATGCTCATGGATTGACAGAATCATCATAGTGAAAATGGCTACATTACCATGGGAATTGTTCAGTGCAATTCCCATCAAAATTCCAATGACATTCATCATAGTGTTTGGAAAATCTACCCTAAGTTCATTTGGAAACACAAAAGACTGCAAATAGAAGGCAATACTGTGCAAAAAGAGCAATGCTGGATACAACTTTGAAGTTGTATACAACTTCAAAGTATACTACAGAGCCATAACAAAAACAGCATGGTACTGACACAAAAACAGATATTAAGACCAGTGGAACAGAATAGAGGACCCAGATATGAATCCACGCAGCTATGTCCACCTGATTTTTGGCAAAGGTGCCAAAAACATACGATGGAGAAAAGACAGCCTCTTCAACAAATGCTGCTGGGAAAAGTGGCTATCTGCCACAAACTAGATCCGTGTTTGTCACCCTGTACAAGTATCAACTCAAAGTGGATTCAGAGCCTTAATATAAGATCTGAAACTTTGAAACTAGTGCAGGAAAGAGCAAGGACTTCCTCAGTAGAGCTCAAATTGCTCAGCAACTAAAAGAAAAGGTTGACAAATGGGACTCTGTGAAATTAAAAAGCTTCTGCACTAAACAATTTGAACTATTTTATTTCCATATTCATTAAGCAATCTGTACATATGCCATCTATGGAAAAATTATTTGTGAAATGGTTAAATCTGAGAAATTTCTATAGTAATGGAAAAAAGCAATGTAATGTATTCTGCTATGTTAGAGTGTAATAGAGTATTATTCTGTAAATTTGAGTCATTATTCAATAGGTAGAACTGTGACTTTCCTTCCAGTTGTCCACTTAGTTCAAGCAAGTAAAAACCACCACAGTGTTCTCCATGCCCATTAATGTTTTATTTTAGAAAGAGTTTAGAAGAAGAAAGTAAATTGAGACAAATGACTCAATCCCCTGTGGCCTATACCAGAGTAAGGTTTTTTTTAAGCTACTCCTGATCTTTTGCATTTCTTAAAGATTCTGTTTGTGCGGATGTTATTGTACATCCTCAGCTGAAAGTGCAAATCCATTAAATACATTTATTAAAATTGCTAAACAGGAGAATTTCAAACAAAACTCCCGTTCTTTCATTCTATGACAGAACTCAGGTGAGACTGCTTCTTTTATTTTTTTTTATTGTTGTGTTAGATGGGGGTTATCTATCGACAATAAGAGAACGAGAAGCCTGAGTTTTAATGCCAAAGCAACTTCCCCATTTCAAGAACTAACATATATCCTACAAAGACTGGTTATTAAATGGCAACACTTTCATAATCATGAAGATTTGAAACAACAAATTTGAAAGCTGACAGAAACACACATTTTACTGTGCTCACATTTCTTTAAATGCAATGTATGTCTTCATGTTGATACAAAAGGAAAACCAAGAGAAAAATAGTAAGATGTAAAAAGCTTCTGCACAACAAAAGAAATGGTTTCTAAATTGATGAGGCTGCCCACAGAATGGGAAAAAATCTTTGCCAGCTATATATCAGACAAGTGTCTGATAACCAGAATATACAGGGAACTCAAAACTAAACTTCCCCCAAAAAGTAATGTCCCAATGAAGAAATGAGCAAATGAGCTGAACAGAGCCTTTTCAAAGGAAGAAATCCAAATGGCTAAAAAGACACATGAAAAAATGCTCAGCATCCCTGGCCATAAAGGAAATGCAAAACAAAACCATGTTAAGATTCTACCTCACTCCTGTTAGAATAACTACAGTCAAGAACACCAGTAACAACAAATGTTGGTGAGGATGTGGGGGAAAAGGAACCCTCATACACTGCTGGTGTGAAGGTTAATTAGTACAACCACTATGGAAAACAGTATGGAGGCTCCTCAAAAAACTAAAAATAGAACTGCCATGTGATCCAACAATACCACTTGTAGGGATATACCTGAAAGTAAGGTTACAACAAGGGCTCCTGCACACCCATGTTTATTGCATCATGATTCACAATAGCTACAGTATGGAAACAGCCAGGATGCCCCACTGTTGACAAATGGATTAAGAAAATGTGGTTATATACAATGGAATTTTATTCAGCCACAAAGAAGAATGAAATTTTGCCATTTGTAGGTAAATGCATGAGACTGGAGAACATCATCTTAAGTGAAGTTAGCCAGGCTCAGAAGGCCAAAAGCCACATGTTCTCTCTCATATGTGGAATATTGACCTAATACAAATGTAACAATATTATGAAACACTGGTCACACTAAGGGGAGGTTACATACAAAGGGGGGGGGTAGGGTGAAAGAAGGAAACTAAGAAGATGAATATGGTTGATATACTCTCTATACAAGAATGAACATAGAATTTTTAAATGAGCTGAGACTACCATAAGAAAGGGACTAGGTAGAATGAAGAAAAATAGAGGAGATGAACCAATTGGGGTTATAATACCTATATACATGGAAATACCAGAAGGAAACTCCCTGTGTAGTTTTATCTTAAATAAGCAAAAATGTCATTTTTTTTCTTTTCTACAAAATTGGAGAACAGGAGGGTGGAACAGGTCTTGTAGTGGGGGCAAGGGAGGAGGTGGCAGGAAAGGAGGTAAGAAAGTGAATAGGGTGCAAATACTGTGTACACATGTATGTAAATGCAAAACTGATAGCTGTTGAAACAATTCCAGGTATGGAGGGAGGGGGGATAAATGAGCAGTGGAGGGATGAATTCAAGTAGATATATTTGATACATTGTAAGAACTTTTGTAATGCCACAATGTACCCCCACCCAGCACAACAATTAAAAAGGAATTTCCCATGTTTCTGTCTTGTTCTTTACTATATTAAAGGGAACTTTTTTCTTCATTATGTTGATATATTGAACAGTACTTCTCAGGTAATATTTGTGGAAACATGGAAAACAATTGCGGGCAGTTTAATAGCTACTGAATAAGTTTAATAGCTATTACTGAATAAGTTCTCCCTCTCACTCAGCAATTCCACTCCTCCTAATCTGCCTTGATAAACATACTTAAGAGATGGCCATAGATATATTCACAAGAAAATGTCTTGTTACATTATTGTCGGGGCTTGCAGCTGGACACTAAGTTTTATCAATAAATGATTGGTTAAATTACATGTGTACAATGGAATGCCGTCTATCCATTCCCCAGTGAAAAAGAAAGTTGCATTTACACTGACACAGAAAAATTTCCAAGACATGATAAAACGTAGCAAAAAATAAAGTCAGAACACTATAATGTGAGGCTATATGTGTATTCTAAGCACACACACATACACACACACACTTAGGTATGGGTAATGGGATTCATATTAAATACAAGATTGATATAAGCATATGAGAGGAAGTTTGTATTGCAGTTAAATAGGACAAGGAATGTGATAATGATTAGTATCATGCCTTCGTACTGCAATGAGCAATGCATTCTGCTATTTTTACTTTTACAGAATAGGTTAAGGAAGAAAAAATAGGGGTGCTTTTATTAAATTTTCATATTTTGTATTGTCTGAAATTTTGTAAAGAGCATGTTATTTCACAATCATATAAGAGAGGAAAACATTTGCTCTTGGGAAAAGATCTAGAAAATGTTAAAGTATTAATCAACACAATGATATTTTCCTTTTGACCCAAGATATTGAAGAATTCCCACTATGAGCACAATGGTAACTTATGTAATATTTTTTGGACAAAGGGCTTCTTCTCAAAGTCTCTTAAAGCAAATTTGAAGCTTTGATTTATTCTCACTTATACATATTTATCCATTATTTAAATTATATTCCTTCATATTCTCAGTTTGTGTGTGTGTGTGTATTTATGTAAGTGGAGGGATATATGTGCATATCATTTTAAAATTTAGGTTGTTCATATTCTTTCAAGAATAGCTGGATAAGTTAAGGAAGCAAGGGAAAGAAAATTGGAAATAATTATTGCTTAATTAACTAAACAAAGCAAAGCTTCCCTTTCCTCTCTCAATCTTGGCAAATAACAATTGCTTGTCAAATAATTGAAATAAGGTATTCCCATGGCTGTACCCCTACTAACTACAAAATATCCCATTAGAGTAATTTATTATGAAAGCTCTGAAGGAAAACTTTGTTTATTCTAGATTATTTGTTTTAGAAAAAATTTTCTCAACTATTTCTTGTGTGTTCTATGAACTATGTAAATCACTTGAAATTAATTCAATTAATAACTGGAAAAGGAGCCCCTTTGAAAACTTCTGAATGTAAATTATTTTTTTCAGAATTATAGACTATGTGACATAGAAATTTGACTAAATTGGTTGATTCTAAAGTCAGTGTGGGATTAATATGTAACATACAAGGCTACTTGACAATTATTTTCTGTATAATAAGTGACTTTATTAGAAAAGATTGCCTCTTAAGTTGTAATACGTTAAAGATACATTTAATGTAAAGATAAAAATGATACATAAACAGTATTGTATACAATAAGCTTAATATCTTTGGTCAGTATGTTTGGAGAACAGAATATGGAATCACAACTTTGGTTTCACATCCTGGTCCTGAGACTTCTATCTGTATAATCTTACACTTTCTCTTCCTTGGTGTTTATATCCACAAAATAGAGGTATAAGTAGTAAGTGGTAGAACCCTATTTCTTAGGATTGTTTTTAAGTTGTAAGAATTAAATAAGTTAATATTTGCAAGGCATTTGTGCATATAGTAAGCATTCAGTAAGTGTACTACTAATATTTGTCATTTTGGCCATCTAGTATCTAGTAAGTGCTCTACATGTGTTTTGTCAGATGGATTGCTTACATGTGATGATCTATAAGAAAACATTATTGAATCACATTCTTTTTCAACTATTGTATATATTTTCTTGAGTTACAAGAACTGATTTTTATGCTAGTTTTGATTATTTCTTGTTTGTATTACAGTTACAAATTATAACACTGTGGTAGAAACAAACTCAGATTCAGATGATGAAGACAAACTTCATATTGTGGAAGAAGAAAGTGTTACAGATGCAGCCGATTGTGAAGGTGGTGTGCCAGAAGATGACCTGCCTACAGACCACACAGTGTTACCAGGAAGCAGTGAACAAGAAGGGAATGCTAAGAACTGCTGGGAAGATGATGGTAAGTTTAATTTTTGTAACATTTTATTCTCTTGATTTTTTTTTATTGTTCTACTGAGTGTGGAGGTACATTGTGGCATTTACAAAAATTCTTACAATACATCAAATACATCATACTGAATTTGCCCCCTCCATCATTCCTCTCCCCCTTGTTTCCTTTTTTAAAATATATTAATGAGGGTTGGTGGAGTGGCTCAAGTGTTAGAGTGCCTGCCTAGCAAGCATTATGTCCTGAGTTCAAATCCCAGTGCTGCGAAAAATAATTAATTAATGAAGAGATAAATCAGGTGAAAAGTTTTAAATGAACAGTAAATTTATTTGAATATTAACCAATATTAGGTGTCCTACTTATAAAAAATTATGAATCAGAATTATAAAGTTTTGAGCATTTATACAATGTTGACAATATATTGAAGTTTATTAGATTTTACTAATCAGTATCAAGCTTTCCATATACTGTTGATATCATTGAACCTACCTTTAATTTAATATTGTCCCAAAATGAAGAATATACTTAGAAACTAATAAGCAGTAATTTAGTATGGTAAAAGGATAGTTCAATGTACAGAAATCTCAAACGCAGATTAATCATGGGAGTGTTTTAGTGTTTGGAAGCCTTTCTATATATATGTCAGAATTCTGTAAGTAATATAGTTCTCTCACTTTCTTTAAATTTTTTACTAAAGTAAAATTTTAACTTTTACTCGAGTAAATTTTTAGCCTATCTTTCCAAGATACAAGTACCAGTGTTACTTTTTAAAAAGAAGAAAAGATAAGGAAGTGGCAGGTATCATGAGTTAGAGAAGGTGGGGATCAGGAACAAGGGCATCAGCAAAATGAAGAAAAGCATGTGAGAGGTCAAATCCAAGGTCAGTCAAAGAAGAAGCTTCCCATCAAGTATGAAGTGCAAGGAGGCCATCTAAACAAGTTATCAAAACTGAGGTCAGAAGTCTTACTGATATATTTATAAGTGTAATGAATTCAGGGCCTGAACAATTTTATGACTCTACCCAATACAGGCTATTACTAGTAATACCCAGTTTGGGAGGGAAGAATATTCTTTCAGAGAATATAGTATATGTCCTTACCGTGAGTAACTATTATAGATCTAGGTCACAGTAGATTATAGCTGAAGGAACTCAAGGTTCATAACCTTAAGAAAAAATCCCTAGAGAAACCCCAAAACAACAGAGGATATGAAAACAAGTACACTATGTGAATTTTAGCTCTGACAACTGCTGCTGGAAATATGAGTGGTAATAAGGTGTAGTGGGGAGAGAGACATTGTATAAATTTTTTGGCTAAGTCACAGTCTTTCACAGAGTCTATGACCATGGTCTGTTATATATATATATATATTAAAATCCTCATATTTATCTCCATTCCACTAGCTTATTTTTCATGATGCTTAATTGTTAAAAGCAAGAGATGATAAACTATGAAATTGTAAAAAAATAACTACAGCTAGAAAATTTGGAGAAATAGGTCGAGCATGCAAGTCAGAAAATATGGATATGAAATATGGAAGTTTAAATAAAAATCTAAACAACAGGCACAGGATAGCAAAAGGTAAGATTTCCATAGTATGGCAAATCTTATAGTTTAGCAAGGAAATTGTGAAGTCATGTAATCAGTCTTCTCTAATTTTATAGTGTTCGTTTGTCCATTCAGTAGGCTTTGCAGGAATACATGTCCATACTTGAATAAGATTTTCTCTGTACAAAAAGTATTTATAGCTTAGAATGGAAGAGACATAAATAAGTTACAAATACATTATAGTCTGATGTAGACATACGTTTAAAGTTATATGGAGCATGAAGGAGAAACATTGAATTAGAGGATTCCTAGAAGAATTTCTGAGTGAAACAGTGATGGGTCTTGACATTTAAAGCACTGGTAGAGGTTAATTAGGTAACTCTCCATGATGCCTCAGAGGCTTTTGCAAGCAGTGCTCATCGAAAATGTGATCACAGAAGTAAACAAAGGAAGCATACAGAGTGCTTTCTGCACTGAGTAAAAGGTGTGAACTTTATCCTGGAAGCTGTGAGAACATCATTGATAAGAAATTTAGAAATATGTCTGCAGAAATATAGAAAAAGAACTTTAGAAGGCTTCAGTAAAGGTGCTGTAACAATTCAGGCAATGGTGAGGATTTTTGAACCAAAGGAGTATCTCTTAGGATGGGAACTGAAAGATTTTTGGGAATAAATGTAGGAGGTAGAATATATAAGAATTGGTTTATTTTATTTGATATTATGTGGAAGGTAACAGATGACTCCAGGGTTTTTGGAAAGGAGAACATAGAGAAGTTAATTTGCTAATTTATTGTAACAGCTAGTTAATGGTTGAACCATCATCCTGTTAAATATGGATGGATCAATTTGGGTCACAGAAAGAAATACATGAGGAACCCCTGCTTCAGAAAGTTTTGGGCTCTAATATATGTCTTAATTCCAGATGAATATAGACTAGGGCAACAGTAATACCTGAAGAAATAATGGTTAAGATTGTTTCAGAATTGATGAATGATGTAAGACTATACACCAACAAATCTCAAAGGGGTAGATAGGAGAGTAATGTGAACAAGATGGCAGAATAGTATGAGTTTCCCCCTGCCCTCATTCTGACAGAACACCAGTTTTGGCAATCACAGACAAGAATACCTCTGGGGTGTGGAGCCCCAGAGTCTTACTGAGAGGTTCCAGCACCTGGTGCAGAAAAAAAAGAAAAAATACATCAGGAATGGATGCACTGAAGAGGATTTGAGGATTAAAAGAGAAGTTTGATGGTATCTACATCACCCCTTCCCAAGGTAGCATAGCTCAGTTACCAAGGGGGGCCCCTTATCTACAAATGACAACAGAGTGAGCACATGGTTTTCCCAGAACACTGAATGGAGAAGCATGACTAAGTCATCCACAACAGATACTGCTAAGTAGATAGTGGACTCCACCAAAAGACCCATCAGAACACTTCATCAGTGGACATCCCCAACTGATACGCAATCCTAGCCACATGTTCTCTATAGACAGTACCTCAAGTATTCTTGTATTTGGCCAGCATTGAACTTCTACAAACTGGTTCTAAAAAAGCAAAAATTGATCTTAGCAGCCAGGTCGATTCTGTTGATCTTGGAGAAGGCCCAGACCTTGTACACTTCAGTGCATTGCCCTGGAGAAAATAAATGGCATGCTTTTAGCACCAGTCCTGGTTTTGCAGGATTTAGAGAATATACTTGCTCCATTAGAGGAAACAAAAGGAATGTAACTGGTACAAGAATGGAACAAGTCTGAGAGATCTTCATGATAACTAGTGGGGCTCACTGGTGAAAGTCTGTTATGGTCTGAATGTTTATGTCCCCTCCAGAATCCATGTTGAAACTTAATCCCCAAAGCAACAGTATAAGGAGATGCAGAGCTTCTGGAGGTTATTAGGTCCTGAAAGCAGGACTCCATGAATGGGATAAATTCCCTTATAACTGGGCTCAAAGGAATTATCTAGCCTTTTTTATATTTCTAGCCCTTTTATCATGCGTGGACACATTTTTCCCTTTCTGGAGGATATAGCAAGAAGATGCCATCTTGGAAGCAGAAACTGGGTCCTCACAAAACACCAGACTTGCTGGTGTTTTGGTTCTTGGACTTTCCAGTCTCTAATATATTTGTGAGAAACATATATTCTTTTCCTTAAAAAATATCCAGTCTTATTTTGTTAGAGCAGCAAGAACAGACTAAGACAAATTTATCTTCCAAAGCCAGTCAGTAAAGACTGGAGGAAGTGACTTCTTTTATGATTCCAAGGCAGAAATGTAAGGAACTTAGACTAAAAGAAATATAACACCAAGAAAGAAATAAAATAAAACTTTAGTTACTAACCCCAAAGAAAAGACAATCTACAAATTACCTGGCAAAGAATTCAAAATAATTGTCTTAAAGAAGCTCCCCAGTGAGCTACAAAAAAACACAGACATGTAGATAAAATCAGGAAAACAATACATGAACAAAAGTAAAAATCCAACAGAGATAGAAATCATAGAAAATCTGAAACTGGAGAATACAATGTCTGAAATGAAACATTCAGAACAAAACTTCTGCAATACATGTGATCAAGCAAATTTGGAATAATTGGTGAACTTAAAGATGGATCATTTGAAATTAGACATCCAGAGGCAGAAGGAACAGGAGTTCATGCCAGGCTGGGCTACACAGGGAGATCTTTCAAGAAAGGGAAGAAAGAGGGAAGGAAGGGAGAAATCGTATTTATGTATGGTAATTCCATACAAGTGTGTGGTGCACTTTCAACAAATTCCCCCTCCATTATATTCCCATTTTTCTCACCCTCCTCCCCATGAAATACTCTTATCTGACTAAAACTTCAAATTATAATTAGGTTCTCAAAGGATTATATGGAAAAAACAATGTTTTTTTGTAAATAATAAACTAGTACATGTTCACTACCAAAAAACCAACAGAATTTCTAGGATAATTAAGTGATATTGTCTTAAAATACTACCAACTTTAAATTTTCTGTGTGAGAAAGTGTGATTTGGCAGTATTCCAGCATATCTGTAATTCATCTTTTGCAATCTTGTGGCCCAAACTCTCATGCTTATGCCAGTTACAGTTTAACTATACCCTGAATTTGAGACACATGTTTTAAAGGTTTCACATGCTTTCAGTTTAAGAACACATGTATAAAACCAGTCTGTTAACATGAAATATTATTTAATGTTAGCTATGTCCTAATATTTTTCAAATTGTTGAGTTTAAAAACTGTTCCAATAGAGACCTAAAGATTTTTCTCACGTGAAGTTTTTTAAATGGTAGAAAATTACATGTTTTCTAAAATGCCAAGGCATAAAAACTTACACATCATGAAAAGTATTTAAGATTGATCTTACAGTCCATGATAGTAAAGGCTTTTTTGGGCACAAATCATAATAACATAATGTAAGCAGTCTATGCAAAGAATGTATCAGTAGCCATCTAAGTAAGCTTTGAG